TTTTTTTTTTTTTTTTTTGCAGTTTTTGGCTGGGGCTGGGTTTGAACATGCCACCTCTGGCATATGGGGCCAGCGCCCTACTCCTTTGAGTCATAAGCACCGCCCTCCTTTTGCATTCTTTAAATCAAAATATATTCCAGGTCATTGCATGGTTTTTAAAAGTAAAGAGTAAAACTTTAAAAGTATGGAGAAAGGACATATAAATGAAAATACTTCATAAACTTGGTAAATGCCTTTCAAGCATGAAACTAAGAATCCAGAAAAGAATATAAAGACAAATGTAATTGTATAAAATTAAAACTTCTACACAGTCAAAATGCCATAAACAGGGGCGGCGGCGCCTGTGGCTCAAAAGAGTAAGGTGCCGGCCGGCCCCATATGCTGGAGGTGGCGGGTTCAAACCCAGCCCCAGCCAAAAACTGCCAAAAAAAAAAAAAAAAAGCCATAAACAAAGTAAACAGATAATTGGTAAGCTGAGGAAAAAGTCTTGTATCACATAGTAAACAAATGAACTAATTTATAAAGGGAACTTATGTATCAGTATGTGAAAGATGAATAATCTAACAGAAAAAATGAGAAAAGGACAGAAACAAGCAATTCCCAGAAAAAGAAAAGCAATGGCCGGCCATTAAACACGTGAATATTCAACTTAAACTAATTATGAAAGAAATGCAAATCACAACAATGAGAAATGACTGCTTATTTGTAAGACTGTCATAGATAAGAAAAGTTTTGTCCAGTTGGAAGAGCTGGGAGAACATGTTCTTGAGTATTGTTGGCAAGGATGCAAAGCGCCAAGAAGATTGAGAAACTTAATAAAAGTAAAACATACACATCTTTTGAACCAGCAAGGCTATTTCCAGGGAAAACCAAATAAATCACGCAAGCCTACAAATAGGTACAAGTGACAGTTGGAATACCACCTGCTATTGCAAGGAAATGTAACTGCAGGTGTAAGGAGGTTTCTAAATTTGTGCGGACCAGCAAACTCAATGTCCAGGTTTATCTTGTTGGGTCAGCAATCTATAGACATAAGAAGAAACCAGAGCATTTAAATAACAGCACAGAAAAAGAACTAAAATGTTGAAACTTAAGAATCTAGATCCAAAATTGGAATATGTGGAAAGGCAATCTGTCAAATAATACTCAGATGTCCCTAAGCCACTTGACCTGACCCGCAGGGGAGAAACTTACCGTGACAAACCGCACAACAGACTAAAGACACTTCGGGGATAATTAAAAACGCGGTATCAGGACACGGGTCCCTCCTGGCGTCCAGTACCGCGCTCTGGCGCAGTCTGTAGGTCATTTGAGGATGGACGGCAGCTTTACCTCACTACTGCGCATGCGGGAAGTCCCACGCAAGCGCAGAATAACCACTTCCCACTGCCCCTTCCTTCCCGATCCGCCTGAAATCGCCGGTTCTCCGTGTTTTCTTCAACCCCTCCGCAGGCGCACCGTACCTGCTGAAAAAGCGAAAGGTGTTTCTGCATTTAACGATTATCTTTGGTTTCAAGTGTCCTCCAGCTCATTTTATACAATTCGAATTTTTAAAATATTACTGCCACTGGCTCGGAGTCCATGGCACAGGGGTTACAGCGCCGGCCACGTACACCGATACTGGCGGGTTCGAACCCAGCCTGGGACAGCTAAACAACAATGACAACTGTAACAGAAAATAGCCAGGCGTTGTGGCAGGCGCCTGGAGTCCCAGCCACTTGGG